TCCTCCCCCTCCTCCTCCTCCTCCTCCTCCTCCCCTCCCCTCCCCCTCCCCCTCCGCCTCCTCCTCGTCGTCCTCCTCCCCTCCTCCTCCTCCTCCTTCCTCTCCTCCTCCGTCTCCTCCCCCATCCTCTTCCGCCTCCTCCACCTTTTCTTTTTCCTTATCCTCCTCCTCCTCCTCCTCTTCCTCCTTCTCCTCCCCCACCGCCTCCTCCTCCTCCTCCTCCTCCTTGTCTTTCCCCCCCCTGCTCCCCGTCTACTGGGCCCCTTCGGGTCATGACGAAAACTTATGAGGGACATCCTGTCACCTAGCGCATGAGAAACCCTGACCCTGGTAGCACGACGAAGACGTGGCCTTACTGAGGCCTCCGCCTTCGCATTAGGATAATCATCCTGGGTGGTTTGGTTAATGTTTCTGGCCCTCCTAACTTAGATCCCCTCCCAGAGGGTTAGGTATCCTTTGTTGGTTAATCTTCCTGGAGGCTTCGTGCGGCGCGGTATAGTTATGGTATCTAGTCCACACATCAGCTCCGTAAGCCAATGGGCGACGCTCGCGCGGCGATGCTCCGGCGTCAGTCCGACGTACATCCGACGTACTTTTGAAGTAGTCCGACGTGAACCCGACGTAAATCTCACGTGGATCCGACGCACATCGGGTCTAAAGTTGCCGCGCGAGGCCTCCAGGAATGTCTCCATTAAAAACATATGGCGGTCGTTTTTGTTCGTAATGTTGTGCCTCAGGGGGCCCTCACCAGGCCTCGCAACCGTCACAGAGCGATCTGCAAGAAGAGACACCTGTCACGGGGAACGGGTCGAGACCTTTCGAGGTCGACGTTCTGAAAAAGCAGGACTTTGGGGGTCTTGGCTTGACGCATCGGTTTTCGTCGTTGTAGCACGATGGCTGTGACTGTGAGAAGCTCGCTGTCTTCGTAGAAGCTCCCCCGACCTTCCAGAAGGCCGCCCTTCACGAGCGGCGAACATACATGTATCCGAGCCGTCGTCGAGGTCTGAACTCCAGGGCGCGATCCCGCGGGCACGCGGTCCTACGGACATGTTGCCGGTCCCCTTTTTCGATGCATGGGCGCCTCCCGGCGCCAGGAGGCGCCGGGAAAACAGGCCACGTGAGTTGATGGTGTACAGTCGGGGCCCTAGAGAAGGAACCCTTTTCATTGGGGAGGGGCTCCGCGTTCCTTAAGTGTTTCACAGTTTGCCTCAAGTTTTCCTTATGTTTTCGATGGGAAATCGAAGTTTAACTTCTGGAAAACAGGGGCCCCGTTCCTTATTCAGGGTTCCTTAGGTCAAGGCCCCGACGGTACGCTACCCTTCGCTATCCTACTCTCTCGTCCGTCCCAAGGCACGGGTGCCATGGCCCAGCGTTGGCCTGTGGCCACGGCTCGGTGCGGTGGTCGGCTGGCGCTGCCCAAACGCTTTAGGCGCTGTGCGCTGTGCTCTGGTTCGCCCGTCCGCCGCTGGGAGAGGGGCAGCGGCAGCTGCACGAGCTCCAGCCCAGCGGGGCCGAACATCTATGTATATGTGTCTACATGTATGGATTTGCACATGTGGCATTTCTGCAAATTTTTACATGTATATATATGTATATATATATATATGTATATAAATACATACACACACATATGCATATACATACATATATATATGTTTACATGTTCACATATATATATATATATATATATATATGTGCATATATATTTACACCGATATATACATATATTCGTGTTTATATATATATATATATATATATATATATATATATCCATGTTCGCTCGCGGCCGCGTGGCGACCGCCGCGGCGCTGCCGCCGCGGATGTGCCTGCCGCTTTGGCAGAGGAGGGCGAGTTGAGACAGCGGTAGTCGGCCTCCTCGTGGCCCCCTCGTCGCCACGGCTGGACGCAGCTCGGGGCATTGGCGCGTTTGGGCCCGATTCTGACCACGGCTGGACGCAGCTCGGGGCATTGGCGCGTTTGGGCCCGATTCTGAACTTCTCGGGAGGGGTCCAGGGAATTGGGAGTGGGACGCAGCTCGCGAGGGGTCCAGGGACCGATTTTGAGCTGCCGCTGTCTCGACTCGCCCTGCTCCGGCTTGCGCCCCTTGCCGTCTCGAGTTGTCTGGGGCGTTCCGCGGTTCACGTTCTGTACGCACGCACGTGCGTGTGCGAACGTGCGTGCGTGCGTGTGTGTGTGTGTGTGTGCGTTTGTGTATGTGTGGCCGCTTTTGTCACCCATCGGCAACGCTTGCTGAAATTCTTCACGCCTCGCGTATCCCCACCAGCGCCCGACCGTGACCGCCTGCCGCTGGCGCTTCCGCCTGCGGCTGTAAAAAAAATATATCCCCACCAGCCCATCCAGACACGATCGGATGGTATCTTGAGGCCTCTTGGAGATTATCTTGAGACATGCTCGGCTAGAGGCTGTCGGCGGCTATCTTGAGCCATGCTCAGCTATCTTGGGCCATATTGAGGCTGTCTTGAGGCTCTTGAAGGTCTGTCGGTGGCTCTATTGAGCCATGCTCGACCTCCTGGGTACATATTGGGGATTTTGCTGATGATGCGAATGATGCTGTTGATACTGATGCTGATGGTGATGATGATGATGATGATGATGATGATGATGATGATGATGATGATGATGATGATGATGATGATGATGTTGATGTTGATGTTGATGTTGATGTTGATGATGAATATGCTGCTGATGACGATGACGACGATGCTGATAATGATGATGATGCTGCTGATGCTGATGATGAGGACGAGGATGAGGATTTGGATTCGGAGGAGGGAGGAGGCAGGACAGGAGGAGGGAAGGAACGGACGATGACAAGGTGGATGAGAGGTCGGGCTTCTGGGACATGCTGTTGTGAGAGGTTCTGCTAGGACGACTGAGGTCATCTTGGAGGCTCTCTTGAGGTCCCCGTTGGGCCTCTTGGGGCACCCTCAGGGGGCCATCTTGCGGCTCGTTGGATGTTTCTGAGATGCATGTTGGACCCCATGGCTCAACCGGAGGCGGTTCGAGGAGGCTATCAATTCGTTCCCCCCCCCCCCCCGAGAGGCTCAAGCGCTGCGTCTTGGGGCCCTCTTGGGCCGCTCTCGGAGCGCGCTTGGGCGCTCGTGGGCCCTGGGCCTCTCTTGGGCAGTCTTGGGGCCACCTTGATCCTGGCATCGCTCGGACGTGTGCGTTTTTTTCTTCGGCGAGGATCATCGAGGAGCATCCTTGATCATTTGGCGAAAAACCACGCACGAAACCGACAAAAAAACACAGGAACTGGACGTCCGAGCGATGGCCAGTGATGCCCCACAAGCCCATCTTAAGCGACAACGCGAGAGATGTCGAACAACGTTGATGCTCATCAGGTTTCGGAGCCGTTTTTGCCCCTTGGGGTGGGGTCCTCGGAGGTCTCGGCGGGCACTGAAAACCGTTTTTGGGCCATCTTGAGGCCTCTTGGAGGTGCGTCGGGGGCTGTATTGAGCAAGCATGAGGTATCTTGACCCATCTTGGAGACTATCTTGGGCTCGCGGAGGCCCTCTTGGCGCCGTCTAGGACCGAAAATCACCCTCTGACACCTCGCCCCCCCCTTCCAGGCCCAGGGGAGGGGGAAGGGGGAGGGGCCGCGACATCCTCCAGATAGCAAGCCGTCCATCTCACTCCCACCCGCACTCCCAACACATACGTAACACCCGAGCCTCAGCTACTGGGAACCAACACAGAGCCCGTGTGCGCGACGCTGGGGCGGGGTGCGCCACGCGTGCCAGGCGCGCCACGCGCGCCAGGCGCCCCTGGAACCCGACCGTGCCAGGCACGCCATGTGCGCCGCATACTCCAGCCGCGCCAGGTGCGCCACGTTCGGGGCGCGTACAGAGTGTGTCAAGTGCGCCAGCGCACGTGTCAGCACACATCGGGAAACATGTCGGCCCCCACCATCCTTGTCGAAAACAAATGCCCATCATTGTGCTTGGTGGGCCTGCGCACAGCAGGCCATACGCCACCACCCCCGCCGTCCCTGTCAAAAGCCACTTGACAAGGATTGCGGGGTGGCCGCGCATGATCCAGATTTAGCCGCGAGGTGCATATTGTATGGTGTTTTGTCAGGGATGGTAGCCCTGCGCACAGCAGGCATAATGCTGACGCACCCGCTGTTCCCGCCAGAACACAAAACAGAGTGCGCGCGGGCCTTAAGAACATGACTCCGGAGCGTGCCCCAAAGTGCATGTTGTATCGTTTTTGATAGGGATGGTGGGGGGGCCCACATCGGGTTGGTTGCGCATGCTTTGAACTTGGATGCAGTGTGTGTTTTGTATTGTTTCTGTGACAGGGATGGTGGGGGGGAGCATTGTTCCTGGTTGGCTGCTGGTCGCCTTGGGGAGGGGGTGTAGCTTAATTGGGAACAGTGATAAGCCCTTCCCCCGAGCAGGGGAAGGAAGGATCCTAGCAGAGAGACAACGCAAGTTTGATAGACCACCTGAGGCCAGATTGCTGGTGAGATTTTGCAGCAATCAGCGACCCTATCTCGTACTCGCTGCGATAACAGCACTCAGCCTCTGGAGCAACAAAAAATGTGTTGCCGCCTATGCGCGGTTCGTGCCTCACACTATTGCATGCAGAAGTCAATTGGAGACAAGTGCAGCCGTGCGCGTCTCTATGCCCGATGTTCTATGTTGCGCCGCTATGCGCGTGGCCGCGACGCCACAGTGTGTGTGTGTGTGTGTGTGTATGTGTCCGTGTGTGTGTGTGTGCCTGCGTGCGTGCGTGCGTGCGTGCGTGCGTGCGTGCGTGTGTGTCTGTGTGTGTGTGTGTCTAAGTGGTCTCTGAGTGCTTGGGCCGGCGTCGACGCGCGTTTCACTGGTTTCGGACTTTCTACGTCCTGTCGCCGCGCGCAGGGCCGCGACGCCAAAAAGGATGTGAGTGTGTGTATGTGTGTGCGCGAGTGTGTGAATGTGTGTGTTAGTGTGAGTGTGAATGTGCGAGTGTGTGTGTGTGTGAGTGTCCGTAGCCTTTTGGCTGAACAGCGCGAGAAGGCGCGTGGCAGGGCCTCGGGCCAGCCGCCCGCGCCCTCGCCGGCGCCATGTACCCGGTGCTCATCGTGCTGGCGTTCAGCGCCACGCTGCTGCTGCGGAGGAAGCTGTTCCAGAGGGAGAGGCAGCGGCGGCTGCACGAGCTCAGGCCCGGCGGGCTCCCGCTGGCGCTCCTGTTCCAGCCCTACACCTTCTTTTTGCTCGTGCTCGTGGTGTGCTACTCTTACCTGGTCTGCCTGTTCGGGGAGCTCGTGGTCAATTACAACTGGCTCGACCCAACTACCTTCAAGCTCGAGGTACATTTCCCGAAAGACGCACCTGGAGTGGGCGTCCTAGAGGACTACGCAGTGCCGTCGTGGCTGCGTGGCCTGTCGGTGGGCGCGCCGCTGTGCGTCGGGGCCACCTTCGCGGTGACCGTGGCGCACCTGCGGCTGCACCTGCCACAGGCGCGCGGGTTCGAGGACCACCTCCGCTGGTTCCCCTCGTACTCTCACGACCTGGCGATGCAGGTTGTATGCCTGCCCCTGGTCTACGGCGTGTTCGCGCTGTACAGCTTGTACACTATGCTGTCGCTGGTTACTGGCGACGCCTTCTCTGGCAGCCCGAGCACGTCGCATCAGGTGCTGGAGGAGCACTGGAATTTGACAGTCACCTCCGTGCAGCGGACATACGAAACCAGCTTCGAGTTGGCGGATCTGTATGAGGCCTGGGCGCTGCGCGCCTTCGGGTTGCTTTGCTTCGCGCTCGTGGGCCGGCAGATCAGCCTGGAGACGCCTACGGTCAAGCACATCATAGACACCGTTAGGGAGCACCAGGCCCGGGTCGCCTGCGCACAGGATCAGGGCATCCTCGGGGACCTGACGATCCTGAACGACCCGCATAAGTTCCTCTTCATGCCCCTGCAGCAGACCTCGTACATAGGCATAAGGGTATTCGTGTTGACCTACGCGGCCAAGTCTGCGTACATGTTGACCCTGGGCATCCTCCAGGACCAGTTCGAGGTTGAGCTGTGTGGCAGTCGAGGTCGTTTCCCAGCTGCCTGCTCCTTCACGGATTACGTGTCTGGTGCGGCTTTTTTGGCGTCTTGCCTTGCCATCTACAACATAGTTGTCTTCGAGCACAATTTGAAGGAGATCCTGAGCAAGGACCGATTTCGGCCGTTCGAGAAGTTCCTGAGCGTGAAGATCATGGTCTCCATAGCTTTCTTCCAGGACGCTGCCCTGTCCATCCTGTTGGGCAGCGTCCTCAACTACCACACGGTCCAGATCAACCTCTGCTACGCGAGCCTCATCTGTTGCGAGGTCTTGGCGCTGAGTGTGATTGTGCTCGCTGCCTGGAAGCCGGTGGACCAAGACTGGCCCTCGTGGGCGAAGAAGCAGCGACCACAGGTGCTTGGGCGGAGGCAGCTGGCCCCGGCGCCGCCCCGACACCGGCCCCGACCCGCCAGCGGAGGAGGAGGAGGAGGAGGAGGAGGGGGAGGGGGAGGAGGAGGAGGAGGAGGAGGAGGAGGAGGAGGAGGAGGAGGAGGAGGAGGGCGACGACCTGCGCGCGGCACTCGGCATCGCGCGCCTGCGCACCGAGGTCGGCCCTGCGACGGGGGTGCCGGGGGGCGGCCCCCTCGGCCCAGCGGTTGTGGTCGTCGAGCAGTGGCGAAGAGTCCTGGCGTGCCTGTAGCCCTACTAAGACAATGTTTTCGATGCTCGTTTCGGGGACCTTCCTGGAGCCCACCTAACGGATCTGTTCGACCCCAGTTCGACTCAAATTCAACTCAAGTTCGACTCAAATTCGACTCAGGTTCGACTCAGGTTCGATTCAGGTTCGACTCAGGGTCGACCCAACTCGACTGACGTTCGACGCAGCTTCGACGCACGAGTGGACTGAGTGGCTCCAGGAAGGTCCCCAGAACGAGCATCCAAAATGTTCTAAGAACCCTGTGGTTTCCACGACATGCTCTTAGAACATTTCTGGTTGGGACCGTCTTGTTTTAGCACGTCGGGTTTATGTTCTAAGAGCATTGCTTCTGTTATTTGAACAGTTTGGGGTTCTCAGAACATGTCGTGGTAGGACTACAGGAATGATGGTCGGTCTCTGCTTAAGGTCGTCTCTTCCCGGACCTCCTCGCGCTGTGGGAAAGTCGCGGCGGAAGGTTTTGCCTAAGTTTCCGCCCCTGGGGGCCCTCTGCTAGGGGCCTCGGCAGCGTCAGCAAGAACGACACAGGGCGCGAAACCAGTCCCAGGCAGCGGATCGAGACCCTGGGTTGTCCGCCCCTGAGGTACGCTGGCGACTGCTACATCCCGGACAAGGAGAAATCGGCTCACGCACAACCGTTTGGAGGACCGCGCGACTTTCCTGGATCGGCGCCGAGCCCCCCTGGCGGAGCCTCCAGCGACGCCCCTGCCGCGCTCCGCGCGCGCGCGCCTCTGGGAGAGGGTGTCCAGCACCGATCCGAGAAAGCCGCGCGGAGCTCCGAAAGGTTATGTGTACTCCAGATTTCGTAATAAAGGAAAGAGCGTGTTCTACCGCTGCTGGCGGAAAACCAGGGGGGGTCACTACCGGTTCGAACCCCTCCCCCCCCCCCCCCACACCGGAAAACCGGGGGGGTCACTACCGGTTCGAACCCCTCCCCCCCCCCCCAGCTCATCATGAAAAGGGGGGGGGTCACTACCGGTTCGAACCCCTCCCCCCCCCCCCTCGAAAACCGAGTGGGGGTGCGGACAGAGGTGGGGACGGTGTTGGTGGGACAGTGGTGAGGGGACAGCGGGACAGTGGTGGGGACAGTGGGACAGTGGGACAGTAGAGGGCCGGTAGTGGTGGGGACAGTGGTGGGGACAATGGTGGGAACAGGGGGGACAGTGGACAGTGGTGGGACGGTGGTGGTGGGGACAGTGGTGTGGGCACAGTGGGAATGAGGTGGAAACAGTGGGACAGTGGAGGGTACAATGGTGGTGGGGACAGTGGTGAAGGCGGTGGCGAGGACGGCGGTGGGACAATGGGACAGAGGTACAGTGGGGACAGTGGTGGGGACAGTGGGGACAGTGGTGGGAACAGTGGGACAGCTCAGTGGGACAGCGGCGGAGTCAGTGGGACAGTGGGGACAGTGGGGATAGTCGGGCAGTGGTTGGGGCCGTGGAGACAGTGGGGAGAGTGGAACCGTGGTGGGAACAGTGGTGGGGACAGTGGGGACAGTGCGACAGTGGTGGGGGCACTGGTGGGGACACAGTGGGGACAGTGGTGGTGAGGACAGTGGTGCTGGGAACAACAGTGGAGGATGTGATGCGGACGGTGGTAGGGACCGGGAGTCGTTTGCTGGCGGTGAGTGGGGGGGTGGGGAGGGGTTCGAACGGCGGTAGTGATCCCCCTCCGGTTTTCGAGGGGGGGGGGGGTTCGAACCGGTAGTGACCCCCCCCGGTTTTCCAGATCCGGGGGGGGGGGGGGGTTCGAACCGGTAGTGACCCCCCCCCGGTTTTCGAGGGGGAGGGGGGGGAGGGGGGGTTATAGGGGAGGGGGGGGTTTGCCCGGGGAGGGGGGGGGGGGAGGGGTTCCAGCAGGGGGGGGGGGGGGATTTTCGGGGGGGGGGGGGGCGACCCCGGCTCCGGAGGAAAAGGTTGGCAATTTTTTTCCACAGTAAAGCGGCGGTGATCACTCTCTCTCTAATAAAGGGAGGGGGGTCTCATTTCGGGGGGGGGTCTCTTCCAGGCTATCTTGGAGGGCCTGGGGGGTCTGGGGACGATGTTTTGGAGGGTTCTCCCACGGGGGAGGTCTGAAATGGCTTGTCTTGGAGGGTCCAGACCCCCTCCCTTTTATTACGAAATCTGGTGTATGCCGTGCCCTCTCTGTCTGACGTCGAGATGGAGGAGGCCGCCGAGCGGCGCGGGCAGCTGGCCGACGAGTGCGGCTCGGCGCAGCAGCGGCACCCGGCCTTCCTGCAGAGGAGGCAGCTCACTGCAGGCCCCCCGGCGCCAAGCGGTGCCCACCTCGGGCCGGGCGAAAGGGGGGGATTGGGAAAGGGGGGGGTACGAAATTTGCTGCATGCAGCTGGTTTCGGCCTCACCGAGGGGCCCATTCCTCGATACATGGGCGTTTTCCGGCGCCGGGAGGCGCCGGGAAAATCAGCTACGTGAGCTGATTCTCTAACCCCCCCTTTGCTATCCCCCCCTTTCGCGCCACCGGCGGCAGTCGGCGGCCAGTTCAGAAGGTGTCGATACCGCGGCTCGTCCGTCGCCGTGTTGGGGCAACGTAAAACGACGCGGAGATCGGGACAACATCGGATCGGGATCACCCGAGATCTCTGAGAATCGGCGGGTTTGGAGGATGTATTGGGCGCCGCGGCCGCTCCAGCGCGTTCCGGAACGCTCTGAGAGCGCTCCAGAACGCTCTGGAGCGATTTATCCCGATCTTAGCCCTGTTTTACAACGGGTGCTGCGGTCTTTTGTTCCCATTTACGATCTCCTGACCCCCCCGGAGGCCGAAACCGAAGATGAAGCCCATGAGGCAATGCCCAATTGCTTCTCTGTCGGCTGACCCTGGACGGCTAGAAACTTCGGCTCTGGTGCCAGCTAGGGGTCTGAGGTGGCCCAGCATGGGTTCTGGCCAGCAAGAGTAAGGTGGCAGTTTCGATCGTGTTTGCTTGTTTTCGTTCTACATCAGGGGCCGTTTCCGGGCTCCAGATCAAACGTTGATCCGAGGTGAAGACTTACGCCACATGGACCACAGGAGTGGCCCAGGGATTGATTTGGAGCGCATTTGCCTCCCCCCCTCTCAACCTGTGTTCTCGGGGCCACACCAGCTCAGGCCCCCGACCGCCTCCAACTTTTGCCCAGCGTGTCGCTCCGCCAGTTCCGGCCCACCATGCTTCACCACCCACCAAACCACCCCAACCCAACCCGAAGGCTCAGATTTACCCTCGATTTCCAGTGGGGGGGGGGGTCGGGAAACATCGAAAAAACGCATGTGGAACCCTTACCCCCCCCAACCCGAAATTCGGGTCTTCGGGTCGGGTTGGGGTGGTCTGGTAGGTAGTCAGCTGCGGCGCGACTCGTCCCCTTTCCCAGGCGCTGACGTGCCGCGTTCCTCCCTTGTCGCTCGCCCCTTCGGAGCGGACTGGCGTGCGCAGGCCGGGGGCTACGGCGCAAGACTTCGGAGCCCAACTCAGCATGCAAGTTGCAAGTCGGGCGTGTCCCTCTTCAGGAGGAGAATCCAAAAACAGTCAAAATATTGTATGGGGACGATTCGGTTCACTATGTTTGCCCATTTGGGGGTTATCTCTTGAATATCTTCTGTTTTTCGCCCCCCCCAAAAAACCCTGTGGGCGGACACGCTCGACTTGATGCACATCTCCGTTCGTCCACTGCAGTTTTCTGCCCACGTCCGTTTGCGGACCAGTTCGATTCGACCAGAGGCTGCCTTCCCCTGGCTGCAGCCCATACGCCAGGATACAAGCACTGGGCGCTCGTCACCTCGGTTAGAATGACGGGTACGCCAGTCTCTTTTGCGACGCTTGCGGGGCTATACACTCGAGCTCTGCCTTGCGATTCAAGGATCCCATCATATGTCGCGCAGAGGTCACGCGTGACTTCTTGAAGTCAAGGGGAGGAATCTTGCCAGGAGGATGGAAGTATAGCTCACCCCTTCCTGGCATATTTGCTCCACGCCGACAGTTTTCGCCCCCTCCTCCTCCTCCTCCTCCTCCTCCTCCTCCTCCTCCCCCTCCTCCTCCTCCTCCTCCCCCTCCTCATCCTCCCAGGCTGATCGGCGTCTGGCCATTGAGTAGCCAAGGCGGACGCTTGGCGAGGAGCTTTGAGTGATGCCTCTGCTCTCTCATGGACGGCTTGAAAGGCTCAAGAAGATTGGGACGAGGAAGTGGAGAAGGGGCCAGGAGGAGGAGGAGGAGGAGGAGGAGGAGGAGGAGGAGCAGGAGGAGTGGAGGAGGAGCAGGAGGAGGAGGAGGAGGGCGGGGACAAGTGCGGGCCTGGAAGAGACTGCTGCGGGCATGTGCAGTCAGGGTCTGGCCGCAGGGCGCCGCGGCCAAGGGGCGAGATCCCGCTTCCGCGAGGAAGGCCCGAGTGCATCTGGGGAGAGGCCCTGAGAATATTCAGCAGCACGTTCCAAGGCCAAGGCAGACCGTGCCCCCGCGAGGAACGCCCAAGGACACCTTGGGAGGGCCGGGGCCATCCAGCCTTCTCTCCGGAGGCCCAGCCAGACCCGGCCCCAACATGTCTGACTTCACAGTCGGCGCCCTCCCCGGAGTTCGCCCCACCCTGGCATGACGGGGGCGGCGGGGCACGGGGCGCAGCCCGTGCGCGAGGAGGCGGCCGCCGTGCACGAATCCAGCTCGGCCCCTCTTGCCAAGGAGGCCTCCGCGCGCAGGGGCGCGGACGAGGCGGCCCCACCGGCTGTCAGGTGTGTCTGCCTCGCGCCGAGAGTGGTCCTGCAGGCCCCTCAGGGGTAACGATGGGGGTGGATAGGCACAGGTCCTTGGGCCCGGCTCCCACGGGACCCGCTCGCATGCCTCCTGTTGAGTCCTGGGGGCCCCGGGCCAGGCCCCACCCTGTGGGAGAGGCCCTGGTCGCAAACTGGAACATACACCTTTCAAGTGGCGGGCTGTTTTTTCAATCCCACGACTTTTGAGGGTCAGGGACGACGTCGGGGTGATGTGGTGTATTCTTTTCTTTCGTTTTCCAAGGGGGACGACGAAACATGTATACACCAGGATTCCGTATACACTAGGATCCGCGTTCCTGTGCGAATTTCAGCGCAGGGTCGGAAAAAGCGTCGGTGTACAGAGTTTGTTTCCCTACCTGGTGCCGGCCCAGACCCCCCCTCGCGTTGTGAAAAAATCACGACGGGAGGTTTTTCGCCATTTTCGGCCTCTGGAGGTCCTCACTGGGCCTCGGGACCCTCAAACAACGACTCAGGAGGATGAAAAGCTGGTCCCGCGGAAAGGGTCCAGGCTTCTGGGGGTCGACATGAAAAAATCATGACGTCGGGGTCTGGGGTAGCGGAATCGTGTTTTGTGTGTGTGTGTGTGTTGTGTGTGTGTGTGTGTGTGTGTGTGTGTGTGTGTGTGTGTGTGCGTGTGCCCCCCCCACCACCGGTGACCCGCATTTTGTGTCCGCGCCAGGCCCCCGGCGCCACGATTCTCGGGCTCAATTTGTCCGCACCGCCGACCCCTTCTGGGGTGTAGTAGATGCCTGCCAGTGGGGGCCTCGTGTGGGGGGGCCTCTTGGGGGTCCGGTGGGCCTCCTGGGTCTGGGTCGCGGGCTTGACGCCGCTCGGATGGCTGACGGGGGTCGCGTGGGAAGCGCGCCGGGAACGTCGCGGAGGCAGTTCTTGAACCGGTTTTGGGGCCTCCCGGCGGCGTCTGGGGTTACCAGCCTGGAACATATCCCTATCCCTATGCTGGGCACCTCCTCATCGCGATGCCAATCTTAGGGATTCCCTTCTTTTTTGAGGGCGCATCCCTAAGATTGTCATCGCCTTTTGGCGTGTCAACCTAGGGATAGGGATACGTTCGAGGCTGGTAATGGGGGCGTTTTTGGAACTCCTTTGGCGCTCGTGGGAGCTCTCTCGGGGCTCCTCGGGGGCATCTCGGGGACGGCAGCTCGAGATGTCCGTCCTGGCTGCCCCTCTGGGCCTCCCTTGGGGCCGTCCTCCCGTCGTGGGTCGATCTTGAAGGCCGCTTCGACCTGGGTGGGCCTCGCGAGAGCACGAGAGGCGACTGTACCAAAAACGTAGGGCTCCTGAGGGAGTGGGGCGATTTTTCTCCCTGAAGGCCTCTCGTAACGCCCCGTGGCGATTTCGTGGAACGTCTTGGGGGCCTCTGGGGCCGTCTGGGGCCAATCTTGGGCGTCTTGGCGCGGTCTTTCGGCGACTCGTGCCCCTCTTGGATCTTTGGGGGCCCTCTTCGGGCCCTCTTGACCCGTCTTGGGGCCCCCTGTCCCCCCGTGGCGCGTTCGGCCGGTCCCTGGGGGACCACCCTGCACCCCTCCAAATCGACCGGACCGGGGTCCTGGGGGAGGGGTTTGGGGAGGGGGGAGCATCTCACACGCCGATGAACCCCAAGGAATCGGTGGATTTCTCGCAGCGTGGGCCTCCAGGAACTGGTCTGGGCCGCTTCCCCAGGGCCGGCCCTTCTTGTATCCCGGGCCGCTGTCTGGCGGTCCTGGGGCGTGACAAGGGCCCCCACGGGGCCGAAAGCGGCCAACAAGCTCCCGTCGTGTTCTTTGTTGACGACATCGTTTGCGTCCTTGGCACGCTCGCCCACACTGGCTGCGGCGTGAGTGCGAGCCTGCTCCCAGGCGCGTCCCGAATGTCTACGCGATCCGAGGTTCCTCCGCCGACCCGCGGTTTCTTCCTTCTCCTCGCCCCGGTGCCCCACTTCGCCACGGATGCGTCCCGCCGTTGGTTTGGCCGCTTGCTGAACCCAATTCACGCAGACCGAGTTATGATGTTCCGATCGACTCACTTGATTTTCCAATCGACTTACTTGATGAACCTGCTTTTTTTGTTCACGACGTATGATGTTCCAACCTACTTGAGCCTTGATGACCAGAACGTGTTTCGAGCGCCATGAATGTGCCGAACCTGGAGGGCTTCTATGTGTCGGGCTCTGGGAGGCGACACTCGTTCGACACTTCGCCCAGCGCGTCGGGCAGACACTGTTTGACACTTGTCGGTGTGCTCGAATTTACTTCTGGGATGTGGTCCTTCAGTGCGACGGGAGCAACATAATTCAGGAGGGGAAAGAAACACACACAATTAGTCGTCGATTCCCCAGAAAATGTGGGAACACATGGGAAGTGGGGGGGGCGACAAAAACCCAGAAGTTACGGGAAACCATGGGGGATCCTGCTATCTGTGTGCATCGTTATCTGTGTGTCCCAGGGCCCCTTCGACAATCCACGACGCGAGGGGGGCGTCCGCAGGAGAGCGGCCCTCGGCGGCCTTCGGCGGCCGGCTGGGCGGACCCTCGGCGGCCCCTCGGCGGCGGCGGCCCGCGGCCTGCGGCCGCCAGGCGTGCCGCAGACGCCCGCGGTTGGCGACGAGCTCACGGCCATCATCGAGCTCCGCGGCGACGTGCGCGGCGACCAGGGCCGGGCCCTGGAGGACGCGGGGCCGCCCCGGCGCGCCCGGCCTTTGGTCCGATTCGGTGCCGACGTCTTTCTCGGGTATGGCCAGGACCCCAGTGGAGGGGAGCCCGCCAGTGATTTGGCCCCGAAGCCCAAAGTATGGACTGGAATCACGAAACCAGGTCTGCCGCAGCTGGTGTTTCTCGCAGTCTCGGGTGACGGCAGTTCCGGTCGTGGAGTGGGGCGGGGGGGGGCGGGCGCTTCCCAGTACACATCACCAAACCAGGTTCCGCCAAACCCAGTTCTGCCAACGCCCGAGTCTTGGCTGCCGATGCGGTCCGCCGTTGGCACGGCGCAGTGTTGTATGTCAGAAGATCCCCGATGTATCCAGGAGCAGCCGATCCAGAGCTCGAGCAGGGCGAAGCGCCTTGGCGTGCCTGTAGGCCTACCGAACATTGTTCTAAGAGCCTTTTGTGTAGAACAGTTCTGGCTGGGACTGCCTTGTTTTATCACATCGGGTTCATGTTCTAAGAACGTTGTTCTTTGTGATTGGAACAATTGTGGGTTCTTAAAACATTTCGTGGTGGGACTACAGGAATGCCTGGACGGTCAGTCTCTGCTCAAATATTGAGAGAATTGCGTACACCAAGATCCATCACGATTGCTGGCCAGGCCCCCCCAAGCAGCAGGTCAGCATGCACACCATGGGCTTGTAAAGGGAACGTTGCGTAAACCAAGAACCACAATCAGTGTCGCCGGCATGTTGTTTGATCTCGGTTGCCTCATACGCCTTGTCCACTGGAGTTGAAGCGTCCAACCACGTCTAATGGTTGTCCTGCGAGCGATGGTTTGTCATCACGGTGTTATGTCCACTCCCAGTATTATCCTAAAAATGTAGCTGCGCGGTGTAATGTGATGGTATCCATAACTGTGCATGTGGCGCAAACTATGTGGTGCACATTGTGTGGTGACATCTGTGTTGCGTAGACCTGTGCTGTGCAAGCTCTGCGGTGCAAGCTAGGTGTTGCCGACGACTGCTGCGCAGCCTCAGCTGTGCTGTGCGGTGCACAAGCTGTGTGGTGTGGGGGGCGCGCTGTGGCAGCTGCGTGGTGGAAGCGGCTGCGGCGCAGGCTGCGGTTTTGTGCGCTGCGCGGCCGCCCCGCGCACCGAGCCGCCCGCGAGGCGCCCACGGGCGCACGCACGGGCGTGCACCGGGCTCGGTGGCCACAGGTGCGCCCTGCCCCAAGCCCTCGCGATCTTGAAAGGGGGGGGGGGGTGGGGGTTCCCTTCGTGCGGGAGCTCCCGAGCGGAAGGGATCCCCCCCGCCCCTCCCCCTTCCAAGATCGTGGGGGGCGGGGGGGCGCTTTTCGCCTGCGGCCGCCTGCACGCGAGGCCTCGGCACGCGCGTCCAGCGCACGAGGCGCCTGCGAGGCACCCCCGAGGCGCCCGCCCACGGGCGGGCGCCCTGCGAGGCCTCGGCACGCCCGCCCAGTGCACGAGGCACCCCCGAGGCGGCCCGCGGGCGGACACCGGGCGAGGTCTCGGCACACCCGCCCAGCGCACGAGGCGCCCACGAGGCGGCCACCATCTGCTCACCAGCCGAAAGCCCAGCGCATCCAAGCAAACGCTGGAAGTACAGTCGGGGCGCTGAAGAAGGAACCCTTTCCGTTGGGGAGGGGCTCTGTGTTCCTTGAGTGTTTTGCAGTTTGCCGCAGGTTCTCCTAAGGTGTTCCATGGGAAATCGATGTTTAACCTATTGGAAGAAGGGGCCTCGTTCCTTGTTTAGGGTTCCTTAGGGCAACGCCCCGACTGTAAGACAGAACCTGGGAGCTCAGAAGTGCGAGCGCTGCTCGGGGAGTGTGTGTTTCGGGACTCCACGCATGGCCCCCGCGGCGCCGCCCCTGGTGCGCTCCGCGCGCCACAAGGCTCCCTGTCTGGTGCAGCGATGGCCGAAGTCCGCAGGGCCCCCCCCCCTTGCGAGCCTCGAGGCTGCGAGGCCTGGGCGCTCTTGCCTTGAGGATTTCGTCACGGGTGTGGCGCTCAGCGCCGACCCGGGAAGTCCGCGCGGAGCTGCGAAAGGTTATGCTTACACGTTTTGGTATATTCCAGTCGCTGCTTCTACTGTTTGTTTCCTGTTATCCTTTTTCTTCTTCTTATTATTCTTATTTCTCTTCTTCTTCTTACCGTAGCACCCCGCAGATGCGGATAAGAGTGAGGGGGCGGTGGGACGTCGACAGTTTGCGAGACTCTGGCGAAGCCCGCCGCAGGCGCCACAGTTTCACAAAGTTTACAACGAGCCCGCCGCAGGCGCCGATTTTTCCCTGAAACCAGTGTGGGTAGGTCGCGGGTGGGTCGCAAATGGGTCGCGAGTGGGTCGTTGTTGGGTGCGGGTGGGTCGCGGGTGTGAAGGGCAGAAAATTCACCCCATCATTATTTCCGACAAGCGAAGCTGTTTATTAGTAAACGCACACGAGGAATGAATCGAACAGGGCAGGGCTGTTTAGTCAACGCCCAAGGCCGTTTAGTAAACGTCAATTGTCGGGTCCGGGTTGTTTTTCCTCCCTTGAGGGTGGGTCGCGGGGTGGGTCGCGGGTGGGTCGCCGATGGGTCGCGGATGGGTCGCGGGGTGGGTCGCGGGTGGGTCGCGGGGTGGGTCGCGGGTGGGTCGCGGGTGGGACGACGACAACAATGAACAGTAACAACAACAAGCATTTTAGGATTGTTCGCTCTTATCTGCTCGAGTGTCCGTTCACGCGTATTTCCCAAACCCTCGATACCCGCCCTCTTCGTCTTCGATCGTACCTTTTTGGGGGGGTAAACGTTTTCCCTGCAGGCCGGGCCCCAGCAAGCGGCGTGGCGGCCGCGGACCGTGGCCTGGTCAGCGGCAGCGCTGATCGGCGGCAACCCGACCCCACGAGGGACGGACAGGGGACCGACCACACCGACGACGACAACGCCAACGACGACGACGACGTCGACCACGACGTCGGCGACGACGACGACGACGAGCGAAAGCGAGAGCGAGAGAGCGACACCGGGGCCACCAAAGTCACGAAGTAGACCACGAAGGGCGACAGCGGGGACACGAAGGGAATGCGAATGGGGCCACGAAGAGCGCGAACGAGTGAGGGCCACGAAGGGCAGATAATGTGGGGCCACCGAAGGCAACGACGGGGCCACTGAGGGTAGCAACTGGGCCACTAAGGACAGCGAGGGGGCCACGAAGGGCGACAGCGGGGCCACGAAGGGCATGCACATGGGGCCACGACGGGCGCGAACGAGCGGGGGCCACGAAGGGCATGCGTAGATGGGGCCGCGAAGGGAAGAGAGGGGGCCACGAATGGGTGCAACGGGGCCACGAGGGGCAGCGAGGGGGCCACGAAGGGCATGGGGCCACGACGGGCGCGAACGAGCGGGGGCCACGAAGGGCATACATATATGGGGCCACGAAGGGCAGCGAGGGGACCACGAAGGGCTGCAAGGGGGCCACGAAGGGCAGCGAGGGGGCCACGAAGGGGCGCAACGTGGCCACGAAGGGCAGCGGGGGGGCCACGAAGGGCTGCGACGGGGCCACGACGGGCAGCGAGGGGGCCACGAAGGGCTGCAAGGGGGCCACCAAGGGCAGCGAGGGGGCCACGAAGGGGTACAACGTGGCCGCGGGGCCACGAAGGGCTGCGAGGGGGCCACGAAGGGCTGCAACGGGTCCACGAAGGGCAGCGAGGGAGCCATGAAGGGCTGCAGCGGGGCCACGAAAGACAGCGAGATCCGGTTGCCTCAATTCATTTGTGAGGGAGTCCTAAGCGTGAGCGCGACTCCTGGGTGCCTGCGGGAACTTCCAACGCAAGGGTGCTATTCTTAAGTACAGCGCAAGCAAGTTTCCAACGAGAGCGCGACTCCAGAGCGCCGAGAGAACGATTCTTAAATCAATTGTCAGGAAATTCTCAGCGAGAGCGCGATTCCTGAATACATTGCGAGGAAGTCTCAGGTGGGAGCGGGGGTCCTGGCTAAATCGTGAGGAAGTCTCAGGCGGGAGCCGATGTTGTTGTAACCCGGGGGACATGGGCACAGTTTGAGCATGTAAAAAAAACAGGGTGCGAGCCTCGAGGGGCACACTTTGATGTAGAAAAGCAGCATGCACCGGTGAGGGGTGATCAACAAAATTATTCTTTTCAGAAATGAGTTCAACCACAACAACATCAACAACAACAACAACGCAACAAACGTAGCTTGCACCACGGATTCTTGGTCCAGCCACGCACGCATGGAGAATGAATGACCGTCCGGCCCCGTTACTCTCATTGTTTTTATTATCATTCTTATTTCTCGTCCTCCTGCTGCTCTCATCCTCCTCCTCCTCCAACGCCATGCTTCGCAAGCCCGTGGTTTCACCCAATCTGCTCTGTTTCAACACATTGCCGGCTCAACACTGACGTGTACGGTTTCTGCCAGTCTGCCAGTCCAGGACATGATCAACACCTTGTCGGCCACGGTCAGGGCGAGGTACAAGCCGGCGGCGCTGTTCCGGTGCCGCGGCCCTTGCGCGCGCGAGCCGGGCCCGGCGGCAGATTTCCGCGCCGGGAAGAAGGTGTCTTCAGGGGAACGGGGCCTGAGGATTTTTTCCCGGATTTCGTCAAGCAGTGGCGAAAAGTCTTGGCGCGCCTATAGGCCCACCAAAGAATGCTATAAGAACCTTTTGTGGTTTGCACGTAATGTTATTAGAACGTTTCTGGCCGAGACTGTCTTGTTTTAACACATCGGGCTTACTGCTTTTAGTTTTTCGAGCAGTTTCGGGTTCTAAGAACATTTCGGGTTAGACCTATAGGAATGCCGGGACGGTCGGTCCCTGCTCAAGTTCGGCGTTTTTGATCCCTCCCCAGATTCGCTCGCGTTGCGAGCAAGAGCGCGGCGGGAGGCGCTTGGCCGTTGTGGACCCTTGCGGGGCCCTCGCTGGGCCCCTGGGCCGTCCACACAAAGACTCAGATCTGGGCCCGCATGGACGACCGTCGCAGAAGCGGCTCGGGACGAAGAGCGTGTCCTGCGGAGGGGCCTCCGTCGGGACCCGTCTCCTTCAGGCCAGCCCTCCCGCGTGCGCGGGAGCCGTGGACGGGGGAGGGAGGGGGCAGGAAATCAGGAGGGAAAGAAACACACAGACACAATGAATCGCCGATTCCCAGGAACATATGGGAAAAAATGGGAGGTGGGGGGAAAGACGAAAACCTAGAAAATACAGGAAAATAGATGGAATCGTTTTACGTGTGTCTATTTATTTGTGTGTCCCAGGGCCCCTCCAGGAAAAAGGAGGGGATGGGAGGGGAGGGTTCGGTGGCAAATCATGGGAGCCTGGTGTACCCTCTTGATGCCCTCTTTGGCGTCGCGTAGCGTCCGAGCTGCCACCGCAGGCAAGGGGGGATGGGCGGCAGGAAGGGCGAGGGTGCGCGGGGCGCAGCACAGAACGAGGAAGCAACTAGTCGCAACACACGCCAGAACAGCTAAACTGTTATGATGCTCCAACCTACTTTAGCCTTGATTATCAGGGATAATTTCGAGCGCCCAAAAGAGTCCCGAAATTCAAGGGTTTTCACGTGTCGGGCCCTGGGTTACACTCGTCCGACATTGTTTCGACACTTTCGTGACACTTTTCTGGGTGCTCGAAAACATTTCTGGGATGCGGTCCCGAAGCCGGACGGGAACAACATAAGCCAAGAGGGCTACAGCTCCAGTCGAGCCAGGGCACGGCACGGCCCTCGGGCTCTCGACGATGTGGAGGGCGCCACGGCGGCCTGAGGCTGCGAGGGAGCCCAGGATGGCCCAGCAGGGAGCCCAGGCAGGCACGAGCAGGGAGCCCCGCAGGGAGCCCCGCACGGGGACGAGGGAGCCCAGGGAGGCCCGAGCGCCGCAGCAGGCACTTTCCGCCCGCCGCTGCCCCCGAGGGAGGCCGAGGCCGGCACGGCCCCCCAACCCCCCCGCGGGGAAGGACGGGCGAGGCCCGACGGCCTCCTGCTCCTCCTCCTCCTCCTCCTCCTCCTCCTCCTCCTCCTCCTCCTCCTCCTCCTCCTCCTCCTCCTCCTCCTCCTCTCCTCCTCCTCCTCCTCCTCCTCCTCCTCCTCCTCCTCCTCCTCCTCCTCCTCCTCCTCCTCCTCCTCCTCCTCCTCCTCCTCCTCCTCCTCCGCCTCCTCCTCCTCCTCCCCCGAAGGCCGGCCCCCCCCTGCCCCGCCAGAGGCAGAGCAGACTCTCGCCTCGCGCAGGACAGCCCGCGCCGCACCCGACTCGCCACCATGCACCCCGAGCGTCCGGGGGGGGGAGGGGGAGGGGGAGGGGGAGGGGGAGGGGGAGGGGAGGAGGAGGAGGAGGAGAGGAGGAGGAGGAGGAGGAGAGGAGAGGAGGAGGAGGAGGAGGAGGAGGAGGAGGAGAGGAGGGGATCAAACGCGCTGCTAGCGACAGCGAGAGGAGATGGAGGCGGGGGAGGAAGAGTGGCAGAAGAATGCATCGGGGGGTGGGGGGCGGGTGGGGCCGAAGGAGGGCGGAGGGGAAGGAGGGGCGCGAAGCAGGAGGACGAGGCTGGATGGATGCATGGAGGACGGCGGCGACGGCCAGCGAGGTGCCGGAGCCTGGGGCTGTCCAGCGACGCCAGCGCCACGCCGCTGTCTGGGGCGGGCTGGTGACGGCGCCGAGGAGGCCCTGCAGGGGGGCGGCTTGCGCCCGACTGCGCGGGGGGCCTTGGGCTGCTCTCCGCGGGGAGTGGCGCTGCCTCGCGAGGGGCCCGCGCCAGCGGCGTGTCGGCTTCCCGCATCCAGGCGCAGAAGCTGGCCCCGCCCGGCCTGCCGGTGTCCTTCAAGTCGCTTCGTGTGGTCGTGTGGCTCGTCTTGTGGCTGTTCGTTCATTTGTCCTCGTCAATCTCAGTCACACCGTCGTTTGCCGCGCTCTCTCTCTCTCTCTCTCTATCCTTCCTTCTCTCTTTCTCTTTCTCTCTCTCTCTCGCATTCTCTTTCTCGCTTTCTTTCTTTCTCTCTCTCTCTCTCTCTCTCCTAAATACCATGTGTGCTCGTATCTGAGCTTCTTGCATATCTGGCCCGTGCAGGCCCCCCCACACGCCCGCGAGAGTTGGCGGCAATCGCGCGCGCAGCGCGCCTGCAAGCCGCCTTGCGACAATGGCTTCTCATTCCCAGGCTTGGTCGCATCGTAAAGAAGTAGTGACCGGAGGTTTCGGGGCATGCCCGGCCCGTGGATGAGAAGCTTGCCCCAGGGAGGAAAGGATTCAGACCTCTGGGGGTCCACCGTCGCCGTCCTCCGCCATCCTCCCTCCTCCTCTTCCTCAGCCCACCTCTCCAGTTTCCCTCGCACCTCCTCATCCTCCTCCTTTGCCTCCTCCTCCTCCTCCTCCCCCTCCTCCTCCTCCTCCTCCTCCTCCTCCTCCTCCTCCTCCTATCACCCTTCCTTCCCTCTCCTCACCGTCACGTCTTCGCACGGCGGAAACGGCACCACCGCCACCACCACCAGGGGCGCCACCTCCAGCGAGGAGGTCAACGATGCCCCTGCCAAAGAAGCTGTGGACGGGAGAGTACTCGAGCGGGACAAGGGGGCACATCACCAGAAGGACCCCCCTCTGACTTCTTGCAAATCCGACGTTGCGAAAAACTTGCGGCATCGCGAAAGATCAGGACCACAGCCCCAGACCCACTCTTCATGCGTTTTGGGCGACTCGGCTCAATCTTCGATGGTCCCTGGGCCCGAAGCTTGGCGAACACGCCCAGCGCGGTAAAACAAGCAGCGCCTGGCGCTGGTGGTGGCAGTGTCGCTGCCCGATGCTCCTGGGGAAGCCAAGAGGTGCCGATACCACTACTCCCCGCACCTCTCCCGGGGGCGCGCTTTGATCAGAGTTGCGGGGCGAAGCCGGCGGTGGCGACGAGGGCCTCCGAGGAGGCCCCACATTGCGAAAGCGAGGGCAGGGGTAGCGGTATGGGCACCTCTTCCTCCTCCTCCTCGAGCTCCTGCCTTGGTTCCCACCCTGCTTCCTTGAAGTCGGGCCTGTCCCTCCACAGGAGGAATACTTCAAACATAGTAAAACAAACGTCGGGGGGCGGTGTTTTGGGTCTGTTTCTTGCTATGATTGGCGTCTTTGGGGGGTAACTACGTTTCAATATGTCCCTCCCACATCCCCCTGAAGGGGGGACAGGCCCGACGCGACACCACGCGCGGCGCGAGCGCGCGCGCGGGCCGAGAGAGCGCATCGGGCCGCCGGCCCGCACAGCCTGCGCAGGAGGCAAAACAAAAGGCCGAGGCGCGCGGCCGCCGCCCTGCGGCAGCGGCGGGTGCCCCGCGGAGCCGCCCGGCCGGGTGGCGGCGGCGGCCGCGGCGGCAGCCAGCACGGCGGCGGCGGCCGTCGGGCGTTCGAAGGAGGAGGAGGAGGAGGAGGAGGAGGAGGAGGAGGAGGAGGAGGAGGAGGAGGGGGAGGAGGAGGGGGAGGAGGAGGGGGAGGAGGGGAGCAGGAGGAGGAGGAGGAGGAGGAGCAGGAGGAGGAGGAGGAGGAGCAGGAGGAGGAGGAGGAGGAGGAGGAGGGACTTCTCAGAAGCCCTCGCTCCTTCTCAGAGTGGCGGCGGGACCTCCTCAGAGGCCGTGCCTTCGGGGAAGGCTCCAACAACAAAAACCTCTCGGAAGGCCAGGGGACATCCGAGCATCCCAAGAAGGCGCGCCCCTTTTCTCGGGCCGAACGACAGGGGGGGATGGGAAAGGGGGGGGTACGAAATCTGCTGCACGCGGCTGGTTTCGGCCCCGCCGCCGGGCCCATTCCTCGACATGGGCCGCCTCCCGGCGCTGGGAGGCGCTGGGAAAATCAGCTGCGTGCGCTGATTCTCTGCCCTGCCCTTTGCGATCCCCCCCCCTTTCGCTCCCACCGAGGCAGGCCACAGGCTTCGTGGCGGCGCGCACAGGTGGGGTTCTGGTAGCAGGGCATGGGAGCCTGGTACACCCTCTCAATTCCTGTCTTCCGTCTTCCGCGGCGACTCGCGTCGGTGAGCGTTTGGGAGTCGATGAGACAGCGCCGATTTAGCGTCGGTCAGCGTCGACTCGCGTCGATTCGCCAGGGCCGCCAAGCTGGTGTGGGAGGCCCCCATGAGTTGCCACCGAAAGGGGGGTAGGGATGGAAGGTTTCTTACAATCTAGGCCTCTTGGGTGGGGTCCGAGTAGAGGGGGTCGGGGGATTGCGCCACATCGCCGATGCATCAGCGATGCGGCTCGATGTGGAGTCAGATTTTCTCCACGCTGGCGTCGCCGATACACCGCCGATGCATCACCGATGCAGTGCACTCCTCCGACCCCATACTCGGACCCCATCTTGGAGGCCTCAATGTTTGGCGGCGCGCACAGTGGGCATGGAGGGGAGGCAAGGCTTCTTATGCGCACCCCTGCCTTTCAGAAGGCGCGGGCCTTGTCCATAGATGGAGGGTCGGCGAGTTCTAAGAATCAGCCTCATTCCAAACAGCCTTCGCCCTTCCCCCCACCCCCTTGTGCGCCCCGCCAATCAGTGGAGGAGGATCCGTGGCCCACCGATATACACCAATCCACGGGCTGTTTGTTGCCGTGCAGGTTGACTGGGTCCCTGTTTCGGCGGTGGGTCGCAGGGTTCGCAGAATCTTGCGATGATAGCATGTCGTCTGCGCAGCGTCACTTGTGCGCCCGATCCTATTGGAAATGTCACACACTTGTTATCATGGTGTATATGTTTGGCACGTGTGTGAGTTTATTTTGGGGGGGCGCCGTTTTCTGTACACCACCCCTGGGTGGCAATTGAGTGCTTGGCAGCACCTGTGCTCGACCAAATGTGGCCGCCAACAGCCCTCGTGGCCATCTGACATGTACCCATCGGTCGTTGAAAGTAGTTATTTCGGGATTCCCTTGTACCCAATCTACTTTAGCCGCCTTCCTACTTCAAGAGTCGAGTGGTTCTCCCTCTTCCCTCTTCAGGAGGCGGGCGGAAACCCAGTCTACTTCCAACGCCTTCCCACTTGATGGTTAGACCTACTTCTACCGACCGATGGGTACTCTCCTTTGTCTCAGGCATAGTGGCGGCCCCTGCCCGAGCGGTCGCGCGTTTCCATCGCCGCCTGGTGGTGGCGTGCATTTGTGGGCTAGACAGGGGTAGTTGCCGATATCGCTGCTCGTCCTGGAAGGCCCATGGCGACGCGGCTGGATACTCCTCGAGATTCTGGTTGGAGCGCGCCCCTTGAGAGGCCCGGGGAGGGGTGGTGCCGGTGCCTTTCTGTCGCCCTGAGGCTGTGACCTCCAGCGGTTTTTTTTGTTTGTTTGCTTTTTCTTTTCGGCGCTCTTCCCCCGATCCCCTCCAACCCCCGCAGACTGGGGGCCCCGGGCCTCCGCAGCGGAATCCGAGCAGATGGGGTCGGAGGATGGCGCCGAGTCGGTGGCCGATGCATCGTCGGCCATCGACGGGGATGCCGACTGGCTCCATGCCGACGGCGCCGATGCATCGCCGACGTCGCCGATGCGTCGGCGATGCGGCGTCATCTTCCGACCCGTTCCTTTCCGGACCCCACTTGGGAGGCGTGGTCGGCGCCGGCTCCCGGGTGGTGGGAGCGGGTCATGTTTTTTCGAATTCGCGCTCTTGAGGCGCCCGTCGTCGTCTGGAGGCATCCTCGGAAGCAGCGACCTGGCGGGGGCTGGCAGAGGGGCGTACAGTCGGACCGAGGTGTAGCATCGAGGCCGGTTCGGGGAGGGTGCCCTGGGGTTGTTCGTGTTTGTTGGATGTTCCTGTGAGGGTTTAGGGTTTAGGGTTTGCATCCTGGGGAGGGTACCTTTGGATGTTCTGTCTGTTTTGGCCGACAGACGGCCTCGTGTTCTCGAGGGATGTTCTGCTGGCCCAGGTCCGCCTGCAGTTGTCCCGCCCCGTGAGCCAGAACCCCCTGTTTCGGCTCCCCTCACGCCGCCCCGGCGGACACGACACCGGTGCGCTCTGCTCTCTGCTCACGTGCTCCGTGGGGGAGGGGGCGGGGGAAGCCGATCCCCCCCCCCCCCCCACGCGGCCCGCTCGAGCTCTGCCTCACATTTGGCCGGATGGGCTCCATCGAGAACAAAAGGACCCAGAGCCCTCATAACACCACGACGGCGTGGGCTCACTGAGGTCCCCGTCTTCGTATTAGGGAAAAGAATTCTAGGTGGTTTGGTCTGATACATCTGCAGAAAGGATCCCCCTATCCCTACTGTTTTGGGCCCTCCTAACTTAGGTCCCATCCCAAAGGTTTTGGGGTCCTTTGTTGGCTAATCACTCCAGGCCCGCTCGCGTCTGGGCCCTGACCCCGACGCGGTTTTGCTACTCTGCGCGTTTGTGCCCTCTGCACCCCCTGTGTGCTGCGCGCCCTCCTTTCGCTGATGTCTCTGCATGCCCTTGCCACCTTGGGCCAAGGCGCGCGTGTGGGTCATCGCTGGCCCGCGGCTTCTTCCGATCGTCGCCTGCTCGTTGGCCTCGCATCGCCACCAGCGGATTGCCCGCAGGCGCTGCGTGCTTCCTGGGCCGCTCTCCCAGGGCCCTCGCTCCCAGGCCCTGCACCTTTCAGCCCTCGGAGCCTGTCCCCGTGCAGCCGGCCACTCTGGAGCACTGCCATGGACCCCGCGCGACGCACCGCCGGCAGCATTTGCTTGCTCAAGTGGCCGTCGAGGTCACTGGTCTCTGGCTAATGTTCGGCGGCGAGCCCGGGGGGGAAGCGAGAAGGAGACGACCTTCCAGAGGCTCGAAGGTCCCCCGGCTTTCCGAGAAGTTGTCCTGAGCCTTCCCCGAAGGCGCAAAAAGCCTCTCGGAAGGCGCGAGGGCTTCTGAGGAGCCCCGCCGACTTCTGAGAGGGTCTTCTCCCCAGACTTCCGACGTCAGGATTTCATCATACCGCCCATCCCTGAAGGTCTCGACCCATTCCCCGGTTTCTCGTCCTGAGTCGTTTTGTTGACGCTCCCCAGGCCCAGCGAGGACCCCCAAGGCGGACAGCTGCGAACAATTTCTGGAAGTGTTTTTTTCTTTCTCCTCCTCCTCCTCCTCCTGCGCCTCCTCCTCCTCCTCCTCCTCTTCCTCGTCCTCCTCCTCCCTCCTCCTCCTCCTCCTCCTCCTCCTCCTCCTCCGCCTCCTCCTCCTCCTCCTCCTCCTCCTCCCTCCTCCTCCTTCCTCCTCCTCCCTCCTCCTCCTCCCTCCTCCTCCTTCCTCTCCTCGCCTCCTCCTCTCCTCCTCCTCCTCCCCTCCTCCTCCTCCCTCCTCCTCCTCCTTCCCCTTCCCTCCCTCCGCCTCCCTCACTCCCTCCCTCCCTTCTCCCTCGCCTCCTCCTCCTCCTCCTCCTCCTCCTCATCCTCCCCTCCCTCCCTCAGCCCGCCCTCCCCCCCTCCCGCCCCCCCACCCACCCCCCGCCCGCCCCCCACCCGCCCCCCCTCCTCCCTTCTTCCTCTCCCGCCCTCCTCTCTCCCCTCCTCCTCCTCCTCCTCCTCCTCTCCTCCTCCCCTCCTCCTCCTCCTCCTCCTCCTCCTCCTCCTCCGCCCTCCTCCTCCTCCTCCTCCCGCCCCTCCTCCTCCTCCTCCTCCTCCTCCTCCTCCTCCTCCTCCTCCTCCTCTGTCTCGCCGCCGGGTTCGTGCGCGGAGAGGCTTCGGTTGCATGAGACCCAGGTGATCTCGGCACTCCTCCTGGGGGCCCAGCGAGGAGGCTCGCGCCGCACCCCGGGGGGCAGAGCGGCGAGAGGAGCGGCAGCGGCAGGATTCGGAGGGAGGGGAAAACGGCGAGCAGGACGGTCGAAGAGCAGGAAGAAAACTCGGGGGCGGCAAAGAGGGGGGTGATGACTATGGGGGGGTTGGATATCATAGCGGGGGCCATGATATTTCCCCAGATTTCATGGCGCCCCGTCTTATTTCATTACGTCCCTGACTCCCCCGCTGGGCCGCGCACATGCCGCCAGTCATGATTTGCACCCCCCCCTCTGCACCCCCCCCCTCTTGGACACCCCCCTCTTGGCTGCTCCCGAAAAACACCACATAAACAGAATTTTTCGGCGCTCCGTGCGAATTTCTTGGATCCGCGCCTGGGCCCCCCTCGGCGGCGCCTCCGGCGCCGCCCCTGGCGCGCTCCGCGCGCCAGGGAGGGGGGTCCGGCGCGAATGCAAGAAATCCGCGCGGAGCGCCAACAGTTAATGTTTGCGTGGTTGTTTCTTCTTCTTCTTCTTCTTCTTCTTCTTCGTCTTCTTATGATTATTCTTCTTTTTCTTTTCTTCTTCTTCGTCTTCTTCTT